CTTCCACGATGCAGGTACACAATTAAGGCACCCGGGTTATCCGCGCCATCTCTGCCGCGTCTCTCCACAAAACCAGTCACGTCATCACACACACCTAACACCTGTACTCAGGAAAAAAACGGAAAAAGAATTGACAATATAAGAGATGTTTGTCCGTGCGCCACGGTTCGATGCCGTCCGCATGGTCCGGTTCTGCTGCTCCGGTGCCGCTGCTCCGGTGCCGCTGCTCCGGTGCCNGGGTCAACCAGCCCAATCAGCTCGTCACCACCTGTCCCCTCCTCCTTTGATGGCAAAACCAGGTTACTGAGACAGTACAGCTCCCTCTAGCAAACCTAGGGCCGTGTACATAGTGCCCGTCCACCTTTCTGATGACGTCTGCCTCCGCGCACAAGGATGAGATGGGCATTGCTGCCTACACCGACGGCCTGGAGGCCCGCGCATCTGCACCTTTGTATCTGACGTACCAATGCCGACCCAGCTCCACCACTACGCACGCCTCGCGGCGGGTGCGCCGCAGCAAGAAGATATCGGTCTCATGAGGGTGAGTCTAGCCCTGCTCGCTAGAAAGACCCCCCCCCGCACTATGGGTACGCAAAACCTTCCCGAGGCAGCGAGGGGAAGAAAACCATGCGCTGCGATCATTGCCATTTTGGCCTTCTGTAGATGGAAAGCGGCGTCACGGTTGCCGCTCTCCTCCGCTGCCGTCTCCAGAGCCCCGAAGTGCGACGAAAGTGCCGCGAACGGCGGAGGTGCCATATGACTTGAGGGTTCCTCGCTCGCTTCGTCGTCCGAGCTCTCCTCTGGGAAATCCCCCGCCCGAAGGTTCTTCCTGGTGGTGGCGCTGCTGCGAGTTTTGGCGGCCTGATTCTCTATCTTCACCCGCTCGGCCTTGACGGTACGCACCGTGCGCTGCCCGCAGTTGAATTGCTCTGCAATCGAAATCTGCGTCCGCGTGCCCTTGTCCAGCAGACGGAGGATCTCCATCTTGGTGCCGATGTCCATCCGCGTGCGCGAACCAGTCATGTCCGGGTGGTTGGCTGGTTTCGATTTTTCAGGTCTTGCCGTGTCTCCGCTCTCCGTGGCTGACCCTTTGCGCTTGCCCTTGCCAGCTGTCGAGGCATTACTACCCTTTTGCTTGGAGGCAATGCATGCAAAGCAGATGCGGGCGGTTTCGTACTCCGCATGTTGGTCTTGTTCCCCGCACAGTCCGTGCAGTCTGCCGCCACACCCTCCGTGACATTGGTGACCGTGAGGCGCTACTGGCGTCTGGTCTGGCAGCAGGCACAGCTCACCAGCCGCACAAGGCATGTGTGCCCCTACTGGNGTCTTGTTCCCCACACAGTCCGTGCAGTCTGCCGCCACACCCTCCGTGACATTGGTGGCCGTGAGGGGCTACTGGCGTCTGGTCTGGCAGTTGGCACAGCTCACCAGCCGCACAAGGCATGTGTGCCCCTACTGGTTGGGTCGGTAGGGGTACGCTAGGTATTGCTGTTGTGTAGATCTCTGGAGTGGTTGTCAAAACCGGCCTTATAGGGTGCGCGGACGCCCTTATCGGCCTTAAATAGGGACTATGCCTGTTTAAGGCCTGTGCGGCCTTAAAAAGGAAGGCAAGTGTGACAGACGATTTCACCGGCCTTGAAAAGGGCCACCGGCCTTAAATTTGCGGCCTTAAACAGGGACCTCTAGTGTACCGTTTTTTTTTACCTCCGTTTCTTTTTTTTGGCGGTAACCATACTGGTGGTCGAGTAGATCATGTTGTGCGGGGTCGAGAACCCTCACTACGCGCAAGGGGAATGATCGCACCACGTTGTGTTAAAATGGTCAAGCACTCTCTAGGCAATTACACAGTGCTTATAGCCGTCTCTGGAAGTGAAAGCACCAGAAAGTATATTAAGTCATACGCAGCTGTCATCCGTACGCAAGGAAGTGAGCACAAGATGCCGAACACCCTTAGCAGGATGCAGCGCACCCTTCATGCGACTGGCCGAATATCTCACGGCGCTTCGCGCTTGGTGATGTGAGGGC